CACGAATCATGCAAGTGTTCGATTGGAGGGTGAATTATTTGTTTGAACATTTCATTTATTTACTACCATCCTACGCTTTTACCGCGCTTGGCATCTATCCTACCGGGTCCACTCTAGTGCTTACCCCAGTACTTGCCCTGACCCCTCCTCTTACCCTTAACATCGGCCTGCTTAACAACAAAGACACCACGGTCAATAGTGTTGATAACAACGTAGCCAGACTCAAAGGTGTAAGCAGACCAGGTACCAGCGTCCCAGAGAGCGTCACCACCGCCGGGCTTGACATCATCCGGAGGGTAGACGTCAAAGTAAGCAATCTCCTTGACCTTGGAGCCGTCGGGGAACTTGGGGATGCTGGAGACGTCGAGGATACGGAGACCGGCTTGGTAGTTGGATTGGTAGTCAAGACCGTCGTAGACGTATTGGTTGTGGTCGACGGAGCGGGTCGTGGTCTTGTAGTAGCCGGTGACGACGGGCTTCTCGAGGTTCTGGATGTCCCAGATGTAGGTCACGGCGAAGCCGTCCTTGGCGGGCGAGTCAACGGCAGTGCGGTTGGGGTCGATTTGGCCCTCGTCAAGCTCATCGTCCATGACGATGTGGGTCTGCCACATGGCATCGAGGACCCAACCCTGATGGGTGTACGAAGCACCGACGTAAGGAGTGCGAGAGATGATGGCACCAGCGTTACCGAAGCCAACCTTGTTGGTGACGTCGTAGATGGTCAGGGTGTCCTCGTTGTAACCGTAGCAGATGTCACGGCCGTAGTACTTCTTGTGAGGTCCACGGTAGACAATGCACTGAGCGTCGTGAGTGTAGCCATCCTGACCGTTGCAACCAGAGACATAGGGCTTGGTGGGGTCGTCCATGTTGATGAACATGGGTCCACCGGCACAGGTGTCGTTGCGACCGGGGCGACCGCCAGCACCGCAGGCGACGGCGTAGTTCTTCTCGTTGTTGGCGACGACGGTGTGGGTGCGGCCCTTGATACCCTGGTTGATGTCGACGAGAGCAGTATCGGTCTTGATGTCGAAAGTGTAGGGCTTCTTCGGGGAAAGCTTGAGCAGCTTCTTCAGGTCAAAGACCTGGACGTGGTGGCCGACACCTTCGGAGCCGACAATGAGGCTGTCACGAACAACCTTGATCTCACGCCAGATGACGGAATCGTTGTTGGCAGGAAGGCGACCAAGGTACTCGAGCTGACCATCCTTGGTGACCTCGGAGAAGGAGGCACCGTAAGTCTGACCGATGGCAATGAAGTCTCGGCCCTTGTGCGACCAACCCCAGGAACCACTTCCCTCACCAATAGCATCACCGAGCTCCTCGTGCGTCTTGAAGTCGTACATGTCGATGTTCTTGCACTGTGATACTGTTAGTTGAGCGAATCTTCATTGATCTGAATCCTGCTTGCCTTGTAGGTCTGGTCGGCATCTCCCTTGACAGCCTCAACGCGGCCGTGCTTGCACTCGATCTTGTTCTTGTTGGTCCTCTTCTTAGAGAAACCGTTCCAGCGCTTGCTGTCGTAGGCGCCAGCAGCACGCTGCTTAGCCCAAGCAGCCTCCTTTCCATTCATCATGAGGTCCATAACCTCTCCAGAGGCATATTGCTGGTGGGTAAAGCCATGAGCGGCGACCAAAGGCAACAAAGCCGTGGTGATAGTAGCCCACTTCATCGTATCGAACAAGACTGCGGATTGACAATTGGCAGTTGATGATGAACCGAGAACCTGGGAGCAGGAAGCAGCACTTTATACATCTTTGCATCTCTGCACCACACTCGCGGAACCACCGAGTTCCCAGAATGCAGACTCGTGCAGGACGCCGCACATGACTATCATGAGTATACCTTCCTATCGTAGGTACTCCGAAAAGTTAGCAGCCGCAACCAAGACCGTATAGAAGCAACGACAGCGGCCGTTAGACGCAGTAAAGTGCTGGGCGCGCCTTGGTGAATCTTGGGGGTGCTTTTCGCAGGCGACCGTTCATGTACGCCGAGAGCCGTGTGATGCTTGGCAAGCATTCCGCCTTGGATTCGAGCATGGGAGCTGGAGCTACGGCTAGTGTACCCCAGTATTCAGCAGGGCTGGTGGCCGAGAACAAGGCAGGGCTACAGCAGATGCGGTGCAAACTAAAGTGGGATCTTCTCGCGCGGAGACGGAGATTGGTAGATAGCGTAGCCGGAAGAGGAAGCTGCTTTGGTTGCCAAGAGCTGCTGGACCACCACGACCAAATGACTGCAGAGAGCTTTGAATCCGACTATCGATTCTAGAGAAGGTGGTGAGTGTGTAAGCCGATGGTAGACTTTAACCGGAGCGATGCTGTACGGCGATGTACGAGGGTCCTTCAAGCTGATTTCCCAGAAGAGGGAAACGCATGTCAGATGTCGCCATTCTGGTCCTCAAAAATGTGCTTGAAGCTGAGAAGCACACCGTACTGTGCTCATCTCGGCCCAAAGCGCTGGATAATAGAAACCGGGACAAGTAAAGTACCGACTGTGCGTATCGGTAGAGGTTTACGGCGGCACCGAGGCCCTTATCTCGAGGGTGCGTAACTGGGAAAGCGGAAGGGCGATCTCCATGGTCGGTCTTGGCGTAGGAGTCGTTGAGTTGAACAGCATAGGTGGCGGAGATGAGGCAGAGGGTAAGGTGGCGACTGAGGGAAATGCGGGAGGGACATGGCCGAGAGCGCGGGGGCGACAGTCTCTTGTAGTGTTCCCCGTGAGCATTGCTTGAGCTCATTTGATGCCTCTCTTGAGCACAATTGAGGGCATTATGGACAGCACAACGATGGGGCCAGGCTGGAAGCTGCATGCATCGCGTACTTCCAAGTCGCTAGTAACTTGACAGGACCACGGTCGTGGTACTGCCATGGCTTCGACCCTGGGTGATGGGCAGGTACAGCCAAGGCCGTCAAGAACATCGTGTTCGATAGTGCTGGGGTGGTTGCAAGATGCGACACGTGATGCAAGATATGTTAGAGTCAGGCAAAGGTCCTTGGAGGTGAGAGTGCTGGCGGAACGAAAGTCAGCGCGGAACGGAAGCGCGCCTCGGCTGGACCTGCCATGGCGTCGCGACGTCCCTTCTCACCACCCAAGTGCGCGTCCTAGGCCAACTCTGCCCACCCCAGCGCCGGCCAATCACCCCGACCATGCAGCTCACCGAAGACGACCTCTATCGCAGCTCCACCCAGTTCCGCAATTGGTCCTTTACCGCCTCGCAACTCGCTGCACAGCGCCTGAAGATTAACGTGCAAGCCACCGAGCGCGTCAAAGCCAATGTCGCGCGTCTACGAGCCCAGCGCGGCAACGATGCCGTCGACAACATGGGCTTGGAGTCGGGCATGGATAAAGAGAATGGAAGTGGAACCAGCGGTGCAAATACCCCAGATGCACGTATGCAGACAGTAACGGAGATCAATTGCCTCACGGCAGAGGAAGAGTTGAAGATAGTAAACGAATTCTGCGAGCGCGCAATCGCCCTAGGGAACCACTACAGCTTCCCCTTGAACGTCGTCGTACGTCTCCAACCTCCAAACATAAACGAAAAGAGACAAAGTCACTAACAACACCCCCAGGCAACATGTATCCAATTCCTCCGCCGCTTCTACCTCTACAACTCGCCCATGACCTACCACGTCAACAACATCCTCCGCACAATAATGTTCCTCGCCACAAAAGTCGAGCTCTTCCCCATCCACGTCTCGTCCTACGCCGAAGGCGCCGGCCGCGCCGTAACCTCCGAAGACGTGCTCGCCCCGGAATACATCATCGTGCAGTCGCTGCGCTACAACCTCGACGTGCGCCACCCCTTCCGCGCCATCAAAGCCGGTCACATGGAGATGCTCGACATGGCGCGGGGGAAATACCAAGGGCCTGCGGGGGAGCTGGGGGGCGCGAAGGAGGTGCAGGCGAAGATGTGTGCGGTGCCGGTTAAGGTGGGCGCGCAGGCGATGAAGATGCCTGAGAAGAAGGTCGAGGAGAGGGTGAATGCCGCGTATGGTGCTGCGACGAATACGCTGCGTACGGTTGCTGTGCTGACGGATGCGTATTTCTTGTATACGCCCTCGCAGATCTGGCTCGCGGCTCATCTCCTTGCCGACGAACCACTCACCCTATTCTACCTCTCTCTCAAAGTCCCCACGTCCAGTCCTATCCACGCGAAACTCCTTACTACGCTCCGCAACTGCGCGTCGCTCATCTCGAGCCACCGGCTTTATGTCAATGCGTCGTTGCCGGCGGCAGAGCGCGAGGCGAGAGAAGCGAAGCATAAAGCGGAGATTAAGACGCTGGTGCAGAAGTTGAAGAATTGTAGGGATCCGGATAAGGTTGATTTGGTCAAGTTGAATCAGGCGCAGAAGAGGGATGCCGTGCAGGGGGATGCGTTGGAGGAGAGTAAGGCGAAGAGGAGGAAGTTGGCGAGGGAGGGGTATGAGAAGGAGTCTGATGCTTTTTGGGGGCCGGAGTTGGGTAAGAAGGCCGAGTAGAACTGTATCAGGAAGATTGAGCGGGTTGCATACGGATATGGCGTTCATTCATATCAGACAGCATGGCATGGCGTTCTGGAGGTTTCAAAAAGATACCACTGAGCTTATAGGTTGAGCGGCACAAGGAGTTTTAAGGTGGGTTTGTACAATCGAATTCTCATTCTCGCTGATCTTGCTGCACGCAGACTTGTCTTGAGGGTCTTCATACCACCACCTGTTACGTCGTGTTCGCAATTCAACGCTTAACCAATCTCGCCTCTCATGGACCTCGCCACACTTCCACCCATTCACCCGCTTTGTCCGAGAGCCGACGTGTAACCAATGCTTTTGCAATTCCATCCATGTTCGACTGAGCCGACGCTGCCAAACGCTTGCACTCTTATGCGAGAATTCAATCTCGCGTTGAATTCCCCCCGGAGTCTCCACGTGTCAATTCGACGTACGGTTGACATACTTCTTCAGGTACTTGAACTGCACTCTCTCCTTACGAGGTGCTTCTGTAGGATTTAGTATCTTAAAATGTTAACGGCCGCGGCCGTACGGGGGAGTAGTCCCCTGCGTACCCTTTGCGACGCTATCTCTCGGGTCCTTTCTAGTGCTGTTCGGGAACATCGGAGCCACCGGCGCGATGCCTGTCGGTTTCTTGGGGCCCAGCATAGACTTGCCGAGGGACTTAGTGTTGTAGTTGCCGAACATGCCACCGGCGGTGGTACCTGGGCGCGCAGTCTGTCCAGATTTACTGTTGCTTTTGTCAACTTGCTCCTGCGCCTCATACTTCTTGCGCTGCTCGATCAGGGCCTCCATCTCTCGAAGGTTCTTGCGGGCCTTTTGTGGCACCTTGTTCATGTCGTTCTCGAAAGAAAGGAGGATGTGGGCCTTGCGCTCCTGGTACTTCTTGTCTAGCTGGGCGACACTGTACTCGGCTTCGCGATCCTTCTTTCTCTTCTTTAGCGGAGGTGGCGAAGTTGGCGAAGTTGACGAAGAGGAAGTCGGAATTGCAGGGGGACTATCATCGAGCTGTGGTACAGGCTGGTCGTGCTCGGAATGGGAGTCGGCCTCGTCTGCAAGCGGTTGCTCGGGAATCGCTGCATTCCGGGGGCTAGATTCAGCCATGGGTTTAGCATTGGGGGCTTCGTTCTGGGACCTCTTCTGCACAGAGGACGCGTACTCCTCACGACGACGCGCCAATTCTGAACCTGCTGTCTGAGGTATGGCAAGAGCACCATCCTCAGCATCTGCCTCGTCGGCGAACTGCTCTTGAGGCTCTCCGCTGACTTCGCGAGTAACGTGAGTGTACTGTGGGCCTGGTGATGGCTTTGCCGATGTAGTAACGCTTCCTCTATCATGGGTTTCTGGGGTACGCTTTGGGTGGGAGTGGCGAGCCACGCTCTGGTTTGCAAGTCGATGAGTGGAGCGGGGATCCACAGGAGGAATTTCGTCATCATCATCGTCCGAATCATCGTCTGAATCTCCGTAGGGTTGAGACGACTGGAGCGCGCGCGGTGGTGACATCTCAGGTTCCGCCACGTCTTCAATGTTTTCGACGTCGTCGACAGGAACTTCCATGTCATCTTCGAACTGGACCAAATCATTGGCAGTGGCATCTCCGAGCTGTTCAGCGTTCCCTGCCCCATTTCGTACAAAGGAGGGGACGGGGGTCCTGGAGTTGTTTCCACCGCGATGACTGTGTTTGTCTTGGTGATTGCGACGACGGCTTTGATCGCGGGTAAAATCGCGGTCTCGGTCACCGTTTCCATCTTCACGATCCCTCGAAGGCCCTCCAAAGTCGTGCCTGTAACTAGGCGTGACGCGATCGACGCGTTGACCAAAAGTCTCGTCGAAATCTTGAAGGACACTCTTCAGATCAACGATGGCCGTATGTAATTCCGGGAAGTCGCTACCACAAGAAGAGTAGATCGTTACCACGTTCCAAGACGCAATCATGAGGTTGTTGAAGTTGGGAAACGCAGTCTTGACGACGGAGTTGAAGAGGTCGACCTTGATGTTGCTTGGAATGGTGTTGAAGATGTTACGTTTCACATCCTCCGGAATTATGTCGAGACCAGCGCGCTTGCGCTTGTTGGAGATATGGGGAATAACCTCATCATTCGGACGCCTCTTTCGTGACTTCCTCGCTGTTCGATTGTAAGCACTGGAATTCCATCGTGTCTTTTACACTTACTGTGAGTAGGAGCGCGGTCGTTCTCAGCATTCATCGGGTTGAGCCTAGTAAGAGTCTATTTGATGTCAGTCAACAGTACTCAAACGCTTCGATTCATCTGAAAGCAATGTATTGCGATAGCTTTCGTAAAGCCAACCATGAATGGGCAGACATACCTCTCCGTCATCAAACAGCACCGGTGCCTGGTACGGCATATTGTAAGCAGCCCGCCTCGCTTCGTTGATCTTGTTCACCCTCATGTAAAGAATCTGATACTTCTCCTTGAACAAAGGCACCATACCCTTTGCAATGAAACCATGGATAGGATGAGAATCGAGTTCATCCTCCTCCAGGGGCAATGGATCTTCAACGTGCATCTGGACATGGTTACCCTCCACCATCAGGTAGACACGATGTATGGCGTTCTTTTCTTCCGGTAGTATGACATTTCCGAGATCGAAACGAGTGGCCTCTTCTTTGAGGGTAACAAAGACGAGATCGGGCTTGACCACACCATTTACCCTGGTGTATGTGGGTGGCTCGTCGTTGCTGAGGCCCTCGATGAATGTGTTCAGATGCGTCGGGTCAACATAGCGAAGTTGGTCGCGGAGAATGAGCGCGCGTTTCTGGGGCTTATTGAGCGCGCTGAAGGTGGGCGCCGCTATTCCAACAGCAAGTGACATTTCGAGTTGGTGTCTAAGTCGGGAGCAGTGGTACTCTTCTGTGAACACTGAGCGTAGTTGCCCCAAAGGCGCAGTCGATATGAGATGGCTATACTGCAGTGCAACTCAAGCCGGGTAGAGCGTAGTGGAAGAGATGAGATATCAGATGCGGGTCACGAATTGCTGTATATATACCCCAAGAGGGGCGAGCTAGTGCACGTCTTTTACCCTTGCGGACTGCATTGCGGAGTCTTCTACCTAGGTAAAGGCGGGGCCCCTACGAATAGTTGAGGTAATAGCGCATATTCCCCCGCTAGATTTCGCCCATGTGGTGTGTTTTAGCTGTCGTGGTGCTCTTGCTCGACCTGGCAAGCCCCGAGCTCGACTGGAATTGTGCAACGGGGGATGAAGACAGACTGGCAGGGTCGATTGGCATTTCTTGCGATTTCGTGTCTACAGAGCGATTCGTAGGGGGAGAAGAAAGCGATTGTATAAGAAGAAATAGGAGAGTAGGTGGTTTCCTCTTGATTTTGATCGGATGACACGAGCTGCGCACGGTCTCTTACAGACTCTCAAGGCAGTCACGTCCCGGACAGAACTTCTGATTGGAAACCGCAAGTTGAGTGGCCCCGACAGTTCCGATCATGAATAAGACGCGACTCCACCTCGCATGTGGGAAGCAGCCCTCTTTCATGCATCGCTGCTATTGTTAGCCAGCGACATCTCAACAAAGAAAACTCACTGTAGACACGCGCACATATGCATCACGAGAAAACTAAAAGGGTGTGCATGTTGTATAGGTCTCAAGCCGTGACGAGATGCTTCCTATGTGCAGCTTGTACTAATACACTTGCACATTACTCTTGAGTGTTGAAGATGATGTCCCTGGCCCAATATCTCTTGCGCTTACAAATACAAGCCCTCCGGCTCACCCTCCGTCTTCGTCTTAAGGACACGTTCCCTTGCGGTGCGGAAGTCCTCCATGTTGACGCGCATACGACGCTCACGGAGCGCCATGAGACCAGCTTCGGAGCAGATGGCCTTGATGTCGGCACCAGAAAGGTCGTCCTTCTGGTTGATGAACTCGTCGAGATCGACATCCTCGTTGAGCGACATCTTGGAGGTGTGCAGAGTGAAGATCTTCTTCTTGGTGGTTTCTGCAAATCATTAGCAAGTGTATTGCGGACAATGGGGAATAAACTCACGATCGGGGTTCTCGAAGAGAATCTTGCGGTCAATACGACCAGGACGGATAAGGGCAGGGTCGAGTGTTTCGATCTTGTTGGTGGCCATGATGACCTTGACGTCTCCACGGTCGTCGAATCCGTCCAGCTGGTTGAGCAACTCCAACATGGTTCGCTGAATCTCACGCTCACCACCGGATGTAGACTCGTAACGCTTGGTACCGATAGCATCGATTTCGTCAATGAAGACAATGGAAGGCGCGTTCTCGGCGGCAGTCTGGAAGAGCTGTCGCACGAGTCTAGGACCGTCTCCAAGGTACTTCTGGATTAGCTCACTACCCACGATACGCAGGAAAGTTGCGCTGGTCTGGTTGGCCACGGCCTTGGCCAGAAGCGTCTTTCCGGTACCTGGTGCACCGTAGAGGATGACACCTTTCGGGGGCTTGATACCCATCTCCTCGTACAGTTCCGGATGTAACAGGGGCAGCTCGACCGCCTCCCGCACCTCCTGGATCTGCTGCTCTAGACCACCAATATCCGCATACGACTCTGTGGGCGCCTTGTCCAGCTTCATGACCGATACCAGCGGATCGGCATCGTCTGTGAGCACACCGACTACTGAAACCGACTTGTGATGCAGCAGGATGCTCGCTCCGGGCTCTAGCAGATCCTTGTCGACGAAAGACATGATGGAGACGTAGTACTCGGGCCCGGTGGCGCTGGAAACAATGGCGTGGTCGTCGTCGATGAGCTCCTCGAGGTTACCGACGCCCATGGGACTGCCGCGCATGTCGTCGACGCGTGAGCGCTCATCGGCATTCCGGTCTTCGGCATCCCCTGCATTGGCTGCGGGCGCGTTTCCTTCCTTCACTGCCTTGGCCTTGCGCAGACGCTCCTGGTTCTCGACGTACTCCTCCTCGAGCAGGAGATGGTCGTGGATGCGCTGCATTCGGAGGTAGCGTAGCTTGCATCGTGCGGTCGGGTAGACGGTCGGGAGCTTGGCGGCGGCGCTGGGTCCGGCGGCCTTCTTCTTCTTCCTGCCGATGCGGGTTGTGGGTTGTGGCGGCGGCTCGTACTTTGGCTTCTCCTTCTGCAGAGGGCGTTGTTAGTGCGTGCCAGGTGCGGTGAGGCAACAGATAGCGGACTCCCGAGAGCCATCACCACGTGTCGTGGGGCAGCACATACCTTGTCCTTCTTGTTCTTGTCATCTCCTGGAGGCCCGCCGCCTCCAGCACTCGATTGCTGGTTACCCTGCACGTCGTTAGCATGTGGCCATGGTGGTTTCCGGAGGAGGCGATCTTACCATGACACGCGATCAGGTGATGAAAGGCGAATCAGGCGCTCGACAGTATGCAGCGACTAGAAGAGAAAGAACCACAGCGAGGGTGGTGGTAACGGGCGATGGCGGTGGTGAGGCGGTGGTTGTTTGCAAGAGGTGTTGATGCGCTGATTCCGAAGCTCGTGGATGTCGGAGGATCGGGGTTAGCGCCTCGTGGCGTCACTGCCTCGAGCCGCTGGAAGCCTCACCATTCCACCTCCATAGAGCAACAGACACGTCAGGCCCTGTCCGATAGCCGTACATTTCTCGCTGTGCGCTCTATTTCACTAACACTTCTTCTTCACCCACCAGATTCCCGAACCCCCCGTTGTAGTATTCCCTCTGAGCTTCGACCCCGCCGGCGAGCCAGCTCAAAGCTCCCCACGCGGGTCAAGAGGTACTCCCCATCGCTACCAGACAAGGTCTTGGAGTAGGTTCAGTACGTTCGCATCGCTTCTCAGGTGAATCACCACGCCACAGCCCCCTCTCAGACACCCCAAGACCTGTATGACACAGTCCCCGCACTGCAACTTGGTCGAGCCGGGACCACTTCGCGGAGCCTGAGGCTGACTTCTCTACCTAGAAATACCTTGGTCGCGCCTACCTGCTGCCTACTCGTAACACTTCCTCTTCATCGCCCTTTTCACCCCAAACCTTCCACCATACCCCACAACCATGACTTCCAACCGCAACCGGCGCATTGCCAAGGAGATTGCCGACATCCACAACGATCAGCACTCCAAGATCGTCGTCGAACCGGCAGGCAATGGCGAAGACCTCACACATCTACGGGGGCAGTTCTTCGGTCCTCCTGACACACCATATGAGGGAGCTACCTACAAGGTCGACATCCGGATCCCGAGCGAATACCCCTTCCGCCCACCGCTCATGAAGTTCGAGACCAAGATCTGGCACCCCAATGTCAGCTCACAGACAGTACGTAGCAAGCAAGATCCCCAGATACCATTCAAGAAAGCTAACAGTAGTAGGGCGCTATCTGCCTCGACACCCTCTCCTCGCAATGGTCGCCAGTTCTGACCATTAAGTCCGCTCTGATCTCGCTACAATCGCTCCTCAGCACACCCGAGCCCAAGGACCCACAAGACGCCGAAGTCGCCGGCATGCTGCTTAGGAACCCCGCCGAATTCGAACACAAGGCTCGCGAGTGGGCAGTCACATTCGCTGGTGCGCCGCGGAAGGAGATTGCTGAAGGAAGCGGGGGAGCTACAGCGGCCTCCATCAAGAAGAAGGCCCAGCAGGCGAAGCAAAACGAAGAGCAGTCCAAGTTGGCTGCGTACAAGGGATACAATAAGGACTTGGTAGATCGCTTTGTCGCTATGGGCTTCGATGTCGACGCCGTGGTCGCCTCGTTTGAGTATGTTGGTATCGATCGTATGGGCGGCGAAGACTACGAGCTGGAAGAAGCCTACATGGGGGACATTACAGCTCGGCTCTTCGGCGAAGCATAGTAGCCTCCCCATGTCTTGTTTCGACTCAGCATCTCTTGTTCGACTTCCAGGGCGCACGGGCGTTTTCATTCCTCAGACCATCACATCCATTACATTCTTCATGGGAGGCGGCGTAGGTTGATGGGTTATTAGGAGTATTGGGTGTACATGATCACGGGAATAGCGTAGGCGCGCTCTTAGTGAGTAGCAATGTAGTGTCAATCAAAGTTTGTTACATTATCCTTCTTGTTTCGTTATGTCGTATATACAGGTGTCTCCTCCTCCTCTTGTCTAACGTTTGTACCAGATATCGTTGACTAAAGTCCTTACGCGATGGCACGGTCAGCGTCAATGAAGACGCCATTCGAGTAGACACCATCAACGCTTTCATCCTTCTTAAGGGTAAGAGGAGCATCACCAAAGACAGTCATCTTATTCGGCTTCTCAATGTTCTGCTGCACCTTGACAACTATTCCACACGTCAGCATTTCGCCCTACACATACAACACCCTGAGACCAGGATGTCACAACCGGAGGGATAAACTTACTCTCACCATCATACTCGTAGTCAAAAGTAGGAGGATCACAGCTCTTGCTCTCCATGGGGTTCTTGCTAGGATCGTACTCGTAGTTGCAAACGGTGTGAATGACGTCCTTGCCAGAGTACTCGTCAGACACAAAGTCCGCGAGGAGCCTCTGCGACTTGAAGCCGGAATCGAGCGCGTATTGCGAGATGGTGACGTTCCATTTGCCGTAGACTTTGGCGTTTGCGGCGGTCGCGGCGGTGGCCAGGGCGAAGAGGGTGGTGCGGAAGTGCATTTTGGGGGGTGGTTGGGTGGTTGGTTGGGTATGGGAATTGGTGGGTTGTGTTGGGAGTGATGGGGATGGGGATGGGAATGGGAATGGGTAAGTCTAGAAAGCGATGACAAGACCGTCTTATATATCCATCTCCCTTCGTAAGACGACGTCAAGAGCGGTCTGTTGGTCGGCGCATTTACCCACCGCCTCGTTTTCGTGCGCCTAGCATGGTCCTAGCATCTGGATACTCCAGGGCTGCGCTCACACGAATACCGCTACTGCTGACGCCGGGTGAGCACTTTAAACTTCCTAGATGTCTGTGCTCAGACGCAACGGTCGTAATCTTCGGTAACGGCGATAAACACCGAGCCATCGGCGCGCGTCTAGGTCGCGACGTGGAGAAAGGGAGACGGTGTGGATTCTTGGGCTAGGACTTGTACTTGTGAACTTTGTGTAGACGCGAGTCAGATTGTAGAGTTGGGCTACTGTGCTCCTAACTTGTGTGTCTTTCTGTCTCCCTCCTTTCTTTCTCGAGATATAGATGCTGGATTTCCATCTTTGTGAATGCGACGATCGATTAGAGACTTTCATTGACACTACTGCCTCGGTGAGGTAAAGTGGAGCTGTAAATCTCCGAGCTAGCCTACGCGGAAGTGGCGCCGTGCTAAATGGGGAGACGCCGGATCCTGGACATGGGCTTTTACGCATGCAGGAACACCAGCATCGGCTGTACATGCGCGAAACTTCGGTATAACCCCACAGGTGCTTGTGTGCAAAAGGTTAGTCGCAAATGCCTCACACAGTTGCAATGCGGTGTAACGGTGTTTCAATGCTGATTGATCTATGTCTATTTCCTAGTATTCCACTACCTTCCCACGAGTACTCGCTCACTCTTCCTTGTCTCGGTGGCGTAGTTGCGCTTCTCTCCTGTGACATGTAGCTGAATATGACCCTTTGCTGTCGGCGCATACTTCACGGTCGCGCCTTGTTCTATACTAAAAGCTTCGCATGCAGGTTTGCTGTTCAAAATCCACTGCGCGGTAAGTTTAACACCAGGGTCCCAACGACCAACACTCGCAGTGACCTCCTGGCCCACCTTGGCCTTCTTGTCTTCGATCTTGGGGTCGGCTTGACGCTTGATGGCTGCTTTGCGACCACCGTATTTGATGACATCTTCCCATACATTTCCACGGGTAGAGGGAGCGGTGGCCGAAGGGGAGAGTGGAGTAGGGCCATCAGGGGTGTGGTCTTGGACCCATCGCTCGACCAACTCAAGGTAGTCCCAAATCTCGCGAGCTTGGTAGTTACCACCATGGGGCTTTTCGGGCAGGATTGTGACATTGGCCCATCCGGCTCCACCAACGGCATCGGTGCGCTTCTGGAACTCCATGACACCTTCGTTGAGGAAGTAGTTGTCCCAAGTGCCTACGTAGACGAAGATACGTCCAGCGAGGGCAGCACCGAGGTTGCGGGAAGAGTTGAAGTTGGTGACGACGTAGTCGCTAAGGTCGAACGGCTTCCAGTATTCGACTGCCTCGGGGTAGATCTCACCGGTGACTTTGTCCCAGGGCTCGAGAGGGTAGTTGTTGTAACCTTGGACTCCGAAGACGGCGTTCCAAATATCCCACTGGTTGAATGAGCGCGATGATGTGCCAAATGTCAATTCCCAATGGTTTTCCTGCGCGGCGGTAGCGAGGATCACCTCCGTGCCGTTGGTGTGGGTGCGGATACTGGGGACAGAGCTACCATCTGCACGTTGGTATGCATTAGCAGCGCTGTACAGTTCGATGTCTTGGTGGCGGTGGAAGTCCAGGGAGTCGGGGTAGGAAGAGAAGCACACGCCGAAGAGGTCTGGGCGGTAAATGACGTTGGCGATCGACTCCCAACCACCAGTAGAGCCTCCGTCCTGGACACGAGCATACGGTGCGCGGATGGTGTTAAAAGTGTCTTCGATATGGGGAATCAGCTCTTCGTTGATGGCATCACCGTAAGGGCCAAGGTTGGCAGTGTTGACGGCATACGAGTCATCGTAGTATGGAGCTTCATGGCGGAAAGTCACCATGATGAACTTCGGTGCCGGTAGCGCTGCGGTCGTGTTGGTGCCGGGTATGATACCCGCGTCCCAAGCTGCTGTGAACTTCTTGTCGGTGCCATAGTTGTAAGCGCCTTCGCCGGCCGGCCAGTGACCTTGGTTGTAGATGACAGGGTATTGTGTTTTCTTGTCGACTGCATCGTAGCCAGAAGGCAGTACGACATTGGCACCAACATACATGTCGCGGCCCCAGAACTTGCTCAACTTCTTACTGCGAATCTTGATGTGTTTGAGCGTATCTGTGTCTTCGTAGTTGCCCTGGTTGCATCCACCGATTTCCTTACCGGCGAAGTTTTCGACAGCTGTAATGTTGTTGAAAGTCAATTCGATGGTCTGGCCGCCTTCGGAAATCTCAATGTCTTGAGCCGATGTAATCAAGCTTCCATAGCCGTTAACGTTTGGCGCGCCATCGCCACATGGGAATCTGACGCTGACCTTCGAGCCATCGCTTCTCGTAACGGTCTCGTAGCGGGTGAGGAAGGCCTGCACACTGTAGGTGCCTGGGTCGATATCGCTCAGACTGACATTTGGCCAGCCATACACACCGGTAGCGGTACTATCGTTGCTTCCACCAGAGAAGAATACCGCTTGCTTTGGACCGAAGTTGTATACATTCTTTCCAAAGATCTTGTTGGGGGAAGAAGTGACAT